TTCGAAGCAGCCCATCCCTAAGCCTCGGCCTGGTCGCTTTAGCCACACATCAGATGAAGCTGTGCTACAAATGGTAACTTCTGGTTCCTGCACATATACAGTAATAGTTTTAGTCATTTCAGTTGCTTATAGTATATAATTACTAACTGTAATTTATCATATACACATTCTGTATATATGTATTCTTAGGAACCATAGGATGCCCTTTTTAAACATGCACACACATATACTCTTCATTTATATTTGAGTTTCATTCCAATATGCTGTATCCATTTGTAGAAGAGTTGAAAAGAATAACAGCTTATGTATAATGCACTTTGAGCTGTTACTATCAATTAAATAATTCTTATGTTTTTGTTGTTTTTTTTTGTTTTTGTTTGTAATCCAACCGATAAAAATTGTCTTAACTGAAGAATAACTACTGGGGTAGTCTTCACTTTCCACCATATTCCTTACTTTGTATGTTGCATATGAATCTTACAGTAAAGCCTAACTGAATATAACTGTAGTAACCTGTTAGCCTGTTATCTTTCTGCTGAGTTGTTCAGACTAGATGTAGTTAAATAAAACCCTTTTACTTTATATACATGCAATCTGTAACAGCAAAACTTTGATTTTACTACAAAAATGTATGAATTAGTGAGATCCTGCTGGTGTGGGTTTCCTTTATTTCAGTGTTGCACACAAAAACAACTTTGAATTTGAGAGTTTGAATGGCTCCCCCTTGTGGAGAATTTTCAGCTTGCTAAACATAGCTTTATTGTAACTTGCAGACACCCTGTTCATGATTCAACATGTGAAATAATTCCTAGTAAATGTAAATTTCAATTTCAATTTTTTAAAGTGATCAAGTAATAAACATTAAGCAAGCAACTTATAGAGGAGTGAAATGTGAGCCCTATACACCTTGCAAAATTTTAAAAAGCATCTGTATTTCTGTAATAAAGGTGGTATTACTAATAATAGTAACATGACTAAAATGATTAACGTGATTAATAATTGATATTTCTTGGATATGTTGAGTTCACTCATCAGTCCTTAATCAGATTTATTATTTAATTAATAGAAGCTCTTAAAGTGTGGATGGAAAACCATCAAAATAATGAGCCATGCTAAAATGGCAAAAATATAACATGATACTTCAAAATATTTTCACAATACACAATATACACAATAATATTTAGTACTTCTGAAGTTTAACAAATCAGAACAGAAAAACTATAAACTATGCATACATTGATTGTTTGACAAACTGCACTGCACAAAGTAAAACAGGACTAACTGCACTGTTTTTGTAATGAAATATCATTCAGTGTTCTTTACGTACTGACAACATCCACAATATACTCCAAAAAGCATATTGTAATGTAATGTGGTGACATTTATCACAATAATGATAAATATCATCACATTGCCTACCGCAAATACATGCCATCAGAAACTCCTCAAACTATCGTAACATAGTATCTGCACTGATACCTCATAAAAACGCTCTGCAATTGCTAATTACACAATTTTATGGTGCTTTGACTTTTACACAAACACAATTGATAACACTTCAGGTTTGTGCAGTAACGTTCAAAACAAGCCCCTTAGGAGGTTTCCAGCATTCCAAGTGTGTCGACAACAATGACAGTAATGAATGAAACTTGTAGAGGAGCATACATCTCACCACCATTCCTAATTCAGTTATCTCTCAAAACAAAGGTAATGTGACCACGATGCAATTAGTCAGAATAACTGCTAATTGAACCATCTGTCTTAAAAGATTGCAGACGTGTTGATAGGATTTCCTCCTACTGTTCCTCCTAAAGTTCCTAACAAAGAAAGTCAGATGAGATCCTGTGCTCTTGAAGTCTATTAGTCCATAGTGTTTGACACCCTTCGCACATGTATGTGCATGTACCGTTCTCACACATTCCTCAAAAATGGTTTGTAGGGAGAATAACATTAGCCTAGTCTGTTCTTTGTTGTGTGTAATCATGTTTATGTTTGTTCGCATCTGCACTACCATCATATGCCATCATCCAATTGTGCCCCGCACAAGAAATTGAAAATGCTAGCTGTCCTTTACAATGTGTTAAAATTTCATAATGAATGTAGCAGTAAAACTGGTTCAAAATTACAAAGAATGTTCCCTTAATTCTATTCACTTTTTTCCTTCTCCTGTAGTTTCTTCCATTTTGGAGATGCAAAGTTTTGTCACATTTAATCTACAAAGTGAGGAGCCTCTCATGTCAAGATTCATAGCACTTTTCTCCAGTGTCCAGTTTCAGCATGGCTCTAATGTGTTAACACCATAAAGAGTACTGCTCAAACCGGAGAAAATAAACAAACACAACAATGTGTTTCTGGTCAGAAACTTGCTGACTCGCTATAGCTAAGCTTGTTTTGCATGGTTTGGTAAAATTGCATCTTCACAGCCTGTAAAGACTTTAGTTAAAATGGCTAAAGCTTTCTGTATTAAGTTAGCCTACAGGCTACTGCAGTCTGAGCTGTTTCACATTTTATTTTTATTTTTAGCAACTCTGACCAATCTATAGCGTAAGTAAGTTAAACCCTCATTTATATTTCGCAAGAGAAGGCATTCTGTGCATGTAAGGCTGCACGGCAATGGGTAAAAAAGTGCTGTCTCAAGCTGCTATATAATGTATATAAAGACATTAAACCCAGATTACAAGACCAATGAGTCTCTTTTTGTCCATTTTAAAGCGGCAATGCATTTTCATTCATATCATCCACCTTGAATGCCATCATGCTAGATGCAGTCTGTCGTTGATTCCTGATACTATCGCCAATCAGCTAAAGCCTAATCCATATTTGTGAGTATCATGACGTCCCTGTCTGAGTATGTGAATGTTTGTTCTTATAAGTAAGCTGGACCGTACTGTGATTGTTTAACATAAATATATATATCAAATCTCTGTTTTTACATGTCAGGGCAGCTTATACACTATTCATATCTTTATCTGAGCCTGTTACTTTGCCTGTTACTGACTATAGTGGCCAAAAAAGTATATTTGGACAACCATTAGTAAACTTTATTAAAGTTAGCGTCCCTCGCAATATGTTTAACATGATATTTGTTTCAGAGGAAAACACTTTTACAAGATCAAACTGACGGTGGACTTATTGAGCGGACAAAGCTTGGAGAAGAGTTCCAGCCAGACTGCACAGGCTGTAAATGTCAAGTCCGAGGCTGATCTCATCAGAAGTGTATAGAGGCATTCTGGATGCAGAAGTCTGCAAACAAACTGCTCAAACTATAACTTAAAGCCAATAGCCACTCTTTGAAAGAATACTTTGCTGAATAAAATCACAGTCTGTTTAAAATAAATGCCACCTGACATTTTGTTTCCTAACACAATGAACCTAATACATTGCTAAGTACGGCACAAATGTCCAAATACTTTCTAGGGGCTGCGGTATGTACCTGTATGTCTATACCAAAGTCCTTTGTCGCATCCATATACAGCTGCATTAAGTGTCATGTTCCCATAATGATCCTACAAGAAGTTTGTCTATTTAACTTCTGCCCAGCCTCACAACATCAGCCCTTTCTCACACTGCAGCCCAGTGCTTACGGCTGCCCTGAGATGGACCATTAGCACTCACTAAAGTGCACTTTGTCTCACAGCCAAACTACAACACTTCACTTTACTGTAGATTGAGTTACAGATATGAGAGATCAGAAGCTGTCCGGCTCCAAGACACACTAAGCTTAAACAATCCTTAGAACCTTTTATCCTTTTTAAGCTACTGAATCTGAGCTTGACATTCGGTCAATAAACTAATCAGCAACTTCTGATGTTCATCTGTTACCGTATGCACAATGTAACAATGCATTATTTAAATTAGGACTCTATTCTGGCAATTGAAAGTGAAAGTGATGGCATGTCATTTTAACTGGAGAGAAAAAAGAATCTAAACTACAAGTAAAATGCGGAAACATTATAAAAAGATAAAACATATCGTCACTGTCCAAAGAAAAACAAGTATGTACAAAATGGTAACTTTACAGGAGAAGGCAAAAACATTCTTTACTGTCAATGCAAGTTACTGTAAAGAGTTTTTATTTGAAGCAATTTTGAAGCGTTTCTGTCATCACATAATGTAATGGGCAGCTGCTGAACAACAAATCTTGCAGAAAACTAAAAAACTCAAAATGTGGAGATTTTTTTTTGGACAGAGATGATATTCAAAATACTTTTCCCAGAAACTGCTGCTTTATATCTTATACACTTATACTTGCTTTCCAATATCTGTGAAAAAGTAACCCATCCAAAAAGAAATAGCTAACATAAACATAGTCCTCAACCCTCAGGAGACTGATGTTTACTTCCGAAACCATCCTATTAACCCTCAGCTCTCACAAAAGTTCCCACATAGTGCACAGACACATTGCCAACTCCCAGAACAATTGAAAAAAGCAACCAAAAGCTGCCCTCATTTGCCACTGCAGGGACCAACACATCCCACAGAGCAGCAAATGTATTTAGAGCACTGTGGCAACCTACAGCACAAACATCATCAAACTTATAGAAGCTTCTGGAGACAATGCTCAAACGAGCTGTGACCTGATATCCTCTTCAGCCAAGTTCACTCCTCTAGAGCTCACTACAGGGGAGTGACTATCAGAGGAAAGAAAGTTGAGACAGTGCAATGATGCTAAGATTGCAAATGCAAAATAAGCTGAAAAGTGTGTGGAACATCAAACTACTGCCATTTGAGTCTATTGCAATTGGACAAAAGTGTCCAGAAGGGGTGAACAGACGGGAGAATCTTTAAAACCAGTTCATTTTACAGCCTGAGTTCTCTAGTTATCTCCACAGCCAGAGCTATTTTCTATAGGGACACTCTGGGCATCGTTATAAACCTGTACATTTATACGAGAGTCTGATTCTATACATTATATATATCAGTCAAACATTTACAGCAAGACAGCGCATGCAAACCAGACCACAGCATCAGCAGCTGAGCAGAAACAGACAGAAACCCACCGGTCCTGAAACGCTGTCGTCTCTCAAACTTTTTTCTCTTTATCGTCCCCGATTGTCTTCCTCTCTTTCTTCAACACTCGTCTTCTCTCGCGCGCACGCAGTTTCTCACCCCTCACTCTCTCGTTTGTTTCAGAGCGCGCGCTGGAAAGTTCTTTTCTCCCCCTCTATGCTAATCATTTTTTGGGGGGAAGAGAGAGAGTTGAAAGCCGACGGGCGCGAGGAGGGGGAAACGGAAAGAAACGGAGGAGACAGTGAGGAAAGGAAGGAAAGAGATAATGGTTCAAGGCAGGCGACCAATGGGCCTGGAGCTGAGCGGAGGAGAGAGAGAGAGAGAGAGAGAGAGAGAGAGAGAGAGAGAGAGAGAGAGGGAGGGAAAAAAAGAAGAAATGGAATGGGGGCAGCACCAATGAGGCGGAGCGAGAGAAAGCAAAGCAAGGATGGGCAGAGAAGACGGCACGGAGGAGAGCAGCAGACAGAGGGAGGGAGAGAGGGAGAGAGAGGGAGAGAGAGAGAGAGAGAGAGACAGAGAGAGAGAGAGAGAAGCGTGCGATATGTGAGTCACAGCGGTTGTCTCGGTGAAGAGCAGAGCGTGCGCAAAGGAAGAAGCAGTGGAGCCTTACCCTCAGCATCATGCCTCTCACATCCTCAGCTCAGCCTGCAGCTCCTGCACGCGCGCTCACGCACACATTCACAGACAAAGGAAGAGGCGCGTGAAGCAGAGCCTGAAGAAGAGCAGCGAGCCTAGTGCTACCTCACAGTATACGCGTGTGTGTGTGTGTGTGAAAGAGAGAGATGGAGGAGGTAGGCTATGAGTGTTTTCCCTTTACTCTATTAATTAGACTCTCTCTAGCTCTCTCTCTACGTATATATATATATATATATATATATATATATCACACACACACAGGGTTGGGATGTAAGTATTGGGAATAGATATTCAGAAGACAACAATTAATAATTACAGTTTGTGAATGCAGTATTCAGAATACAGTTACTTTTTACATATTTAGGATAACACATTTAAAAATATACATCTTAATAAAACATCTTTCAAAGAAACAACACCACTGCTTGTTAAGTAACTATTTTAAAATCAGCACATGTAGAGGCGTAGTCTAAAGAAGAACTCAAAAATGACTTCTTACAAACACTGAAGATCCTGCTAAAGCCTGAGTAGACTGATAAATCATTGTGATGAGTCAGTTATTCTGAGTTGCAGTAAACTCATTTGAAGGATGACCGAACTGAACAGTCTTCTTAGTAGCAGACATGTTTATGAGCAATAAGCTTAGTTTTGGTATGAACAAGTTACATACCTATCATTAACTGAAAATCACATAGCCACATACTTTAAAGTCTAATTTAAATATAATATAAAATCTATCCAAATTTATTGTCTTTAATTTTTGGAAGATTGCCTTTCAGTTTTTTAAATAATTCGTCAGAGATACTTTTCCAGACCTCCAAAGTTAAGTCTTAAAAGTTGGTTGCATTTTCTGATCTCACAATCCAATTAACCCCAAATACATTCAGTGATGTTGAGGTCTGGACTCTGGGCTGGTCAGTTCATTGTTCTGAGAACACCAGCAGCTTCTTTGCTTTGCAAATGTTCTATTTCTTTTGCTCACTGAGGGCTTCTTGACAGCTACACATCCTTTTAGACCCATAGTGTTGAGTTGTCTTCTCTCAGTGGAAGGATGGACAGAAACACCTGTGGATTTTTTTTAGATTGGAGCTTGGAGCTTGATTTTCTCCTCTCTCTCTGGGAGATGAAAGCTTTAAGCACTGTTTATCTGATGGATCAGCTCTGGTGGTCTACCAGGTCTTGCAAAGTTGTTAGGAGTCCTATTTTCTCTATAGCTTTTTAATGTATATATATATATATATATATATATATATATATATATATATATATATATATATACACACATGTCTGTATATGCACAAACTGCAGACTTCCTGCTCCAGGTATCGGTCCCTCCCGTCAGCACTGTGGTCTCTGAAGCAGAGCTGTGTGCATGTAAGCATCTGCTGTATTTATCTTAGTATCAGAAATTCTTGAATACACACATCCTTTGCAGGACTCTAGCAGCACTGTAGCTTCCCAGCACAGACCCACATGTAACCCTCACCAACAGCACCCAGAAGAGCGGCCTGCCACAGCTAATTAATGTCCTCCCTCACTCAGGGCTTTGAACTCCGGCAAAGTAGCAGCACTGTGAAGTGGCAAGATAACTGGCTTAGGAACCAGCCAATCCGCACTGCCAGGCAATTTCCCCCGCCAGAGAGAGAGAGGGAGAGAGGGAGAGAGAGAGAGAGAGAGAGAGAGAGAGAGAGAGAGAGAGAGAGAGAGAGAGAGAGCTGATCTGTCCCCGACTAGACAAAGGATATCCCACACCTTCCCTACATACCATGGCTGTGAAAGAGGCCTCATTACTGCTACTCTTCTTCAGCACCAGGGTTTGTTTTTATCCTCCACCAAAACAATGCAGATATGGTAATGTGAGAATGAAGAGCCTCTAGTTCCAGTCCCTCTGACTTCATAAGGAATAACAGGGGTGAAGGCCTCATTTATCTCTAATGGCTCATTTAAACGGATTACCCTGTGAGACCAATTACACAACAACGTCCAGGCAGATATGTTACCAAACAATGCAATTCCCCATCAGAGAGTTCCAATAAATTAATTATAGGTCAGTTAATGCTACACTTCTTGACATTTCAACATATAATGCCAAGTAGCACAAGACATCATCTCCATCAAAAGGGGTTCGAGCTCAGATTCACTTGATAAATTGACTTTCCTATAAAATCCTTTGTATAAAATCTTCCTTCGAGCCTTTTGTTCCTCACTTGTAAACTCTCCTTCAGCTTGGTTCACTTTTCAATGGGGTTTAGATCATGAGAAGCCATTCCAAGAGGCAAGAAAGCATTGCAGGCCAAAGAATTCTACATCTGGCTGGGATTACCCATGCTTTATTATTTTATTTGTTATTTATCCATTGAGTGGTTCACCATGCAGGGCTGAAGCTCAGAGAGTGGACAGCTCCCGGTGCTGAAATCTGCTGCCCAGCACAGGCAACCCAAACAGCATCATTTAAAGAGAGAGGAGTGAAGAAAGCCAGCAGTAAGGGGAGAAAATGAAACCACAAGAATAGCAGCACACACCTGCATGGTGAACTAACTGCATCAAACCAACCACTGGCACAAGAAATCCAAGGATGTTAAAAAATAAACCAGAAGAGGTGCCTAGTGAATAGATGAATGGATTGTACTTTAGAGGCAGTGTGTAGTGATGACACAGGCTGGCTACAGGATTTTAGGAAGTGGGGCATGTTTCATTGTTGCTCACATAAAAAACCCACTCTTTCAGAGAAGACAGGTTTTAGAGACAGTGAAACGGGGAAATGAAGAGAAATTTACACAACAGGATTTTGGCACTGATTTAGCAGGCATGAGCTCAGCACGAGACCAACAGATGGGGCTGTATTATAATTAGTCTAGAAACTATAGTATCAAATGGTAAAATGGTAGTCTATGTGAAAATATGAAAATTGAACATCATCTCAGTAGGAACAAATGCTTTTATCTCTGTTTTTGCAGGTTTTTAAGATAGTTTAAAAACACCAGCTGACCTACATATTATAATTGAGTTGTATAAAGAATGGAACAATATATAGGCCACAATTGTGTCATAATTATTAATCTCTTTTCTTACTATAACTTTGATAACAGTTGAATATGTTTGCTCTTGTCCTGTAAAGATACCATTTTGATTTTATGAGTTGACAGTATGTACACAGTTCAGTGCAAAAGTCAGAGACTGTCCTTCATTTATTTAATTACCAGCCAAATCAGGACATATTTATCAGAAAATTAGATATAAGTTATTCCTCTTGCATAAGGAAGGGGAAAGTCAAAGGAAAATAAGTGAAAAAATGAGACTTTGCAGGTGTTTCTGTCCATCCCTCCACTTTGAGAAAACAACTGAAAATGTGTAGCTGTCGAGAAGCCCTTACTGAGACACTGAGAAAGGCAAATAGTCAAAAAAGAAAAAAAAAAATGTGCAAATCAAACAAAGAAGATGCTGGTGTTCTCAGGACAATGGACTGACCACCCCAGAGTCCAGACCTCAACATCACTGAATTTTCTTGATGTTCTAAAAGTGAACTTTGGAAAAATAATCCAGCAAATTTCTTTGTTTTATATATATATATATATATATATATATATATATATATATATATATCTGCTGTCAGACCAAAACCCTGTATCTCCAAAATGGTAACTTTTTCAGGAGAAAAAATATACTTTGCTTTTTAGTGTAAGTCAATGGGAACAGACATTGTTCCAAGTAATTTTGGGCCTTTCTTTTGGTCCATTCATCTTGAAATTTACATATAACGTAAAGGACAGTAGGTTTTTTCTAATTATGTCAAAACTGTGTCTCTCCCTCTCTCTCTCTCTCTCTCTCTCTCTCTCTCTCTACATATATATATATATATATATATATATATACGTAGAGAGAGAGAGAGAGAGAGAGAGAGAGAGAGATTCCTTTTCTTCCTGTTAGGGCTGACATACTGTTAACATATTCAGCCTTTCCCTTCCTCACACAACACACATGAACACACACAGGGTAAGACATGAACTCACCAAAAATAGACATTCGTGCTAATACTCTCCCTCTCTCTCTCTCTCTCTCTCTCTCTCTCTCTCTCTCTCTCTCTCTCTCTCTCTTTCCCTGCCTCCAAACCCATGGCATATGACCTTCTGTTAAATAGATAAAGAATGCGCTTATCAGTCATGCAAATGAGGCTGAATTCATTTTGCACAACAGATGGTCTCATAGATAATGATGATGGAGGAGAGAAAATTAAATGTCTCTTGCACGGTGGTCATGGCAACCGAGCTCAGAGTAATATCAATAATAAGCCTGGTGCATAATAAGGTTGTCAGTCCTGTGAATCAAAGTCTGAAGCTAAAGAAGACTCGGAGAGGCCTCAGAAGTTTACCAGTGTTCCCGTTACACTGACAGCTATGCAGTTCCTCTTTTTCCTTTTTGAGTATTATTCCCACTCCCCCCCAGTGTGCCATTAGCCCAGCTAATTACTTTACAGTTCATTATCATGGAAATGATTTCTTTTCACTGATCATATGGTAAGACAATGCTGTGTGTGGACATAATCACTTAAGACATGAAGGTTATAATATTTAACATAACACATGTGCCCATAAGCTGCTATTATGTAATGTGGCAATAGGTAATTTCTCTAATC